GAATGGTGTAACTTTGGCTATGTATATTTTCACCAAAAAAAAAGATCCTCAGGGTCAAGAAGGGACAGTGTTGACATGTCGTGGGGTTGTTAACCAATGTCATAAAACAATATGTGTACTGATTGTTTAATGAGAAACTATTTGTTCTGTAAGCCTTCATCTAAAGTACAATAAAAAAATTAAGAAATAAAAAAAGCTAGAAATAGAAATACCATACAATCCAGCTATCCCACTCCTAGGAATAGATCCTAGAGAAATAAGAGCCGTCACACGAATAGACATGTGCACACCCATGTTCAGTGCAGCATTGTTCATAGTAGCAAGAAGATAGAAACAGTCTAAATGTCCATCAACAAATGAACAGATAAATAAACTATGGTACGTACACAAAATGGAATACTACGCAACAATAAAGAGCAATGATGAATCTGCGAAACATCTCACAACATGGATGAACCTGGAGGGCATTATGCTGAGTGAAATAAGTCGATCCCAAAAGGACAAATACTGTATGAGACCACTATTATAAAAACTCATGAAAAGGGTTCCACAAATAAAGAGACAATCTTTGATGGTTACATGTGAGGGGAGGGGTGGGGAGGGAAAAACACTAACTAGACAACAGATAAGGGGTAACTTTGATAAAGGGTAAGACAGTACACAATACTGGGGAAGTGAGTACAACTTGACCAAGGCAAGGTCATGGAAACTTCACAGACACATCCAAACTCCCTGAGAGAACCAAATTACTGGGCTGAGGGCTGGGGACCATGGTCTCTGGGGACACCTAGCTCAATTGGCATAACATAGTTTATAAAGAAAATGTTCTACATCCTACATTGGTAAGTAGCATCTGGGGTCTTAAAAGCTTGTGAGCGGCCATCTAAGATACTCCTCCACTGGTCCCATCCCATCTGAAGCAAGGGAGAATGAAGAAAACCAAAGACACAAGGGATAGACTAGTCCAAAGCCTCCACCAGACTGATGCCAGCACACCCATATGGTGCCCAGCTACCACCACCAACTGCTCTGACATGGATCACAATAGAGGATTCCAGACAGAGCTGGAGAAAAATGTGGAACAAAATTCTAACTCACAAAAAAAGACCAGACTTACTGGTCTAACAGTGACTGGAGAAACCCGGAGAATATGGCCCCTGGACATCCTTTTAACTCAGTACTGACGTCACTCCTGAGGTTACCCTTCAGCCAAGGATTAGACAGGCCCATAAAACAAAGCAAGACTAAATGGGCACACCAGCCCAGGGGCAAGGATGAGAAGGCAGGAGGGGACAGGTAAGCTAGTAATGGGGAACCTAAGGTCGAGAAGGGGAGAGTGTTGACACATCATGGGGTTGGCAACCAATGTCACAAAACAATATGTGTATTAATTGTTTAATGAGAAACTAATTTGATCTGTAAACTTTCATCTAAAGCGCAAAAAAAAAAAAAAAAAAAAAAACACCTGTTACTCCCCTCAAAAATCCTGGCTAGGCCATTCCATTCCTTTTCTCCAGTGAAAGCCATTCTATCCACCCTTCTGTTCCAGCACTAGATCTGAAAGATAACCTAGTCCCCTAGCTGCCTTGCCCTGACCTCCCTAAATAGGTCCAGATTTGAAAGGGGGTGTGGCGAGAGCTGTACTCACCTTCTGTCTTGTAATACACCTCACCAGCAAAATGGACAATGCCAAATCGGGCATCGTGGATGGTCTTGGGTTGCAGGAAGGCCTTGTTGTTGGCATGGACACTCTTCAATTTTTGCAGCATGGTTAGGTCTGTCCCCTAGAAGAACACAGATGCCCCAGGGGCTAAGTTCCCAGAGTGCAGCACGGGGAGGTCAGCAGGTGCAACCACAGGGCTCAGGAGCTCCCTTTCAGGGGCAAAGCAACCTGGACTCTGAATTATCAAGGGCCTCTCTACGGAGAGCAAACTGACACCTGAGTGTCAGTGACTTGTCATGATGAGTGAGGGCAGAGCTGGGAGCCTGCCAAGTCTGCTGACCTCTGCCACCAGCTTTGTCTGTCCCACCCTTCCCTACAACCGCCCGCCACTTTGCTGGACTCAGAGCTTTCACCGACTGCATTTGGGAGCCTCAGCTCCTTTGGGACGTGCAGAGTCTCTGGAGGGTGAGGACGAAAGTGCTTCCTTCCCTTGCACCCTCCGCAGCCCTCAGCCCCATGGTGCTTAACAAGCCCTCTCCTGGGGCCTGTTCTTGAATCTAAATAATCAAGCACCAGACTGAGAGATTTCTAATCATAGGACTTCATAGAGGGAGTGGTCGTTCTGCTGGGGAGTGGGAGCAAGCGTGAGTCGGAAGGCTTCCTGTGGGAGGCAGGCCTGTGGCAGGCCTAGAAGGAGAGGGGGATCTGGCTGGGATGGGGCTGGTCTGCTAATTCCTGGCAAAGGTCTCAGCAACCTGGGCACAAGTGAGCCACTCCAGTGGAGTTTCCCAGCAATGAGGAAGAGACCAATGGGCAGGGGTCTCCACCCAAGCATTTGTAGCCCAGGACATACCTGTGGAAAGCGGCTCTCTTCGTCCAGGAGGGAGATGATGCTCATGGGCTTGAGGGCCAGCAGATCCAGGGTGTGTCGGTTGTCGGTATAGTGGATGTAGTCCCAGGCAATGTTCTCCATGCGGTACTCCTCCTGCTCCATGGTGAAGATGTGCTGCACAAAGAACTGCTGCAGGTGCTCATTGGCCAAGTTGATGCAGAGCTGTTCAAAGCTGTGGAGGCAATGCCACCCGCCCAGGGTGGGGCAGGGTTAGCTGTGTCCCTGCTGCAACTAGTGGGAGGCATGGGGTCACCAGCAGTCTGCACAGTCATACACGTAGGTACCCACAAAGGCACATCCCTCTGCACATGGAGACCCCACGCACGTAGGAACCCACGGAGGCACATCCCTGTGCACATGGAGACCCCACACATACAGCCACACACGTAGGTACCCACGGAGGCACATCCCTGTGCACGTGCAGACCCCAGACACACACTACCCCACACACCCTCCCTTTCTCTCTGCTGCCTTTGCTATCACCTGAAAACAGACTAGGAGAAGTGTGGCCCAAGTCGGGTCTCAGCCTGTCTGCGTTGAGCAGACTTACCCCTTACCCTAGCCCCTCCTCCCCACTAACCCTTTAACCTGGTCTTCCTTCTGGGTTCTCCACCTCAGGAAATGGTACCTCCACCCACAGTCTCCTCCTCAAGTCAGAAATCAAGGAGTCAAGCTTGACACACACCCCCTACCCAATTCCAATCAATTGCCAAAGTCTCGTCCATGTTATCTCCAGCAGAGCACCCTGACCTGTTCACCTCTTTGAGCCTCACCACCATTGCCTTAGTCTAGACCATCTTCACTGTTCACTCAGCACAGCAGTGGCTTCCTAATAGCTCTCCTGCCTCCAGCCTCACCTCTCAAATTGTTCTTACCAGGGCCCCTAGAGGAAGCTTTCTGAAATGTAAATCCCATTGGACCACTCTGCTGCTTCCATCTTTCTGGGGCTTCCTGTTCTTTATAGTATCAAGTCAAACAGTGACTGCCCATCGACAGCCCACAGTGGGGCCCTGCCGACCTCTGTAGACCTACCATGGCCACTCTCTGCCACTTTCTGCCTCTGAGTCTTTGCATAGTTGGTGCCCTCCTCCTCTTACTCCTCATTACCCAGCTTGCTTCTGCTCTCCCTTGGGTCTCACTTGGACAGCTCTTCCTCTGGATGATGGGTGCCCCAATGATGCAAAACCATAACCCATATCATACATGAGCCTGCTGCCTCAACCTCTGCTACCTTGAAAGGCCAGGAAGATGTCCAGCATGCTCATCTAGACCCACCCGTGCCCAGAGAAGGCATAACTGAAAGAGGGGCTGGGTGATCTCAAACACCCCGCCTTCCCCAGACCCCCAGCTTGCAGCCCTGTCACAAACCCCAGTGGTGGCTACTGATGGCTGGTCACTGTGACCTCCTATGGACAGACACATGGACAGAGCCTCCAGAGCCCAACCCTCACCCACCACCAAGTGTTCAGAATTGTGCTTGGACTGCTCCTCTACCCACCAGAGCCAGGAACCAGGATCTGAATCACACTGGAGTTGCTCTGCTTTAGGGCTCCCCACCAAGTCAGCCCTAGTCCTCCAGCCCTGCCCTTCCCACCTGGCCTCCAGGGAGTAAGCCTCAGCCCTGGCCGCCCCACTGGGACCGGGGGTGCCAAGATCCCAGCACACTTGCATTCAGAATGGCCGTGGCTTGGCAATCCTGGCCCTTCAAGGCGACTTTCATTAGAAATCACCCCCAGGGCAGCCTTCACTTGGAGACAGGCCTTGGATATGGCATGCCATGGTCTGGCAGCCCCTCGGCTCGTTGGGCAGTGCCCAGAGGCCTCCACTTCTTAGAACCAGTGACCCAGGCTGTGTCCTGCAAAGCCCTTTTAGGTGGACCAGGCTCACCTGGGTAAACTAGATTGTATCTGGGATGGCTTCTGCTTGCTTGTCCCACAGGTGCTTGTTTGTCTCACTCTCTGACCAACTCCTGCTGTTTGATAAAGGCCCTCAGTGTCGCCTGCCTTTGTTGGGCTCCACTGCCTGGCTCCCTTCTCATCACACTGTCTGCCTCTCCTCCCCAGCCTTCATTCAGCCACAATCGGGTATCAGTTCTCTGACCTGCCTCCCACCTACAGCTTTTCAGCCTCCAGTCTCGGGTGTGGGGACACTGAGACCCTGGGTGAGAGGGGTCTGGCCTCACTTTCCTCCCTCCAAACTGAGAAGTTAACCGTGGTCCACAAATGTCCCTAGTTTTCCTCTACTACCCACTATACTATCTCACCCAAAGACACAGGTGAACCAACACCACTGTATTTCCATTTTCACCCTAAGCCCATATGATGATTTGCTCTGGCTCATGAGAAGAGGAGATGGCTCAAGAGAGGCGACAAATGCCAGGGCCTCAGCCTGGCTCTCTGGGCAGGTGCTGGGGTGCTTTTAGCCATGTGGCTTCTCTAGAGGTGCTGGACGTGCTGGGGGGTGCACACAGGCCACTCCCAGCAGAAAGACACTGGCCACTTAGCAGACTGGTCCTGGCATCTGTGAGCAGAGCAATTGGGAATGGCTACCCTCCAGCTTGCCCAGTGACAGAGGGGCTGGGATTTGCCTTCCATTTCCCCAAAGCAGGTGAACAGAATCCTTCATACCTGTTGCTCTGGAAATTTTCAAAGCCAAATATGTCTAGGAGGCCAATGGCCCTTCGCACATGCTTGGGGTCCTGGGAGGGCGGACTGAAGATGGTAGCATTGATCTTCTTGACGACCCACAGGAAGAGGTGCCCATAGATGCGCTGAGAGAAAGGGGTAGAGCCATGTGGGTTTTGAGGCCCAGGAGCAGAAGGGTGGCCCGTGTCTTCAAGCCTGCCTGAAAGTCCACGTGCAGACCCAACCCCACGGGACCAACTGAGGGATACTATCCCTGCTTTAAAGGCGAGAACCTGAGGGCCCAAGAGCTACGAAGGCCATAGTGAACAGGCTGGTGAAGGGCAGAGTCGGCCTTCCCAGGTGTCTGTGCTTCCACAGCTGGTGTTCATCCCTGTGCTCTGCCAGGGGGGACAGCGACCCAGGCCATGTTCAGTAGACAGACACGTAGGCCCAGTGGGCTGGAGAAGGGTCGAACGATGCTGTACCTTGACAAAGGCATCCCTCCGATCTGCTGCCTGGACGATGTTCAGGGGCCTAGTGACAAACTCCCCACGGATGATGATGGAGTGCTTGGTCAGGCAGTCCTGGAGTGCCTGGTGCTGCACCTGAGGACATAGGCAGCAGGCAGGTACCACACCTGGCAGGGCAAGGGCCTGGGCCAGGACTCCCACCTGCTTCTGTCCCATCTTGCTCCCTCTCTGGACCCAATACCCAAGACCGCGATGGGGGGGAGTTGGCTTGTGGCCAGGCCCTGGGCCGAGGGACTGGAAAAGATGCACAAGCTGGGTGGGAGCCCTGAGCATGTTGGGCTGGTCTCCTGGGGCTGGGACAGGGACAGGGGCCAGCACCACCAGATCGGCCTGGGGAAACATGTCCTTATGAGAGCTGGCTCTGAGGAAGGAGCCCTGGCCTTGGGTGGGGGCAGGGAGGGCTCTGGGGCTAGGCCATTGACATCTGGGTATGCCCCAATGGCAGCCACTCCCTCTGACGGCCTACAGAGGCAAGGGGAGTCTGGATGGGCCAGCCCTTTCCTATCACTCGGGAAGACCAAGCTGGCCAAATCCAAGACTTTTAAGAATCCTTGAACCAAATGAAGAAAGTTAACAGCAAAACGTGCTTACTGCAATTGCTTTTTTTTTCTTCTCCTATTAATTTCCCACCAGAACTGTGATGTTTGGCATGATGTAAGGACACTGCAACATTCCTCCCAGCATCTGTCACACTTCCTACACTTCCAAGGCCCCTCTGGTCCCTGTCATAACTTGGAGGCAGCAGCATTGGCCACAGGCTCATCAGCACACTCCACTCTCCCAGAGGAGCAGCTCGGGGAGAAGCCCTGGGTTGGGGATGTAGGACAGGGACGCTTTGATGGGAGGTGCAAGGTCCAGAGCACAGGGCCTTGGGTTAGGTGCCAGGGTGGGGAAAGCGTAGGGACTGGCTGGATAGAGAGTGAGAGGTGGGGTATAGGGGAGAAGCAGTGAGAACACAGGACAGGGAGGGAGAGTTGGCTCACATTGCCCCCGCCTTGACCCCATCCCAGGCACCTGCAATGTGCAGCTGAGGGCGGAGCTTATAACATGGGAGTGGGGCACGAAATAGGAGTGGGAACCCTGGAAAGGAGTGGGACGGTCTGTTGTTCCTAGACCCTAGGGCCCTCACAGAGATGGAGGCTGGCAGACACAACGGCCTCAGCTACCTCCAGCAACTTCATCACGATGGGAAAGGTGGACGGCTCCATCACTTCTGAGGAGTCCATGTTCTCAAACACCGTGGCTACAGAGAGAAACAGTAACCCTGAGTGCCTGCAGTGATGGGACACAGGGGCCCGTCATGACCCAGATCCACAGCACTGGAGACAAATGTCTCTGAGTGTGAGGCATTGCCTCTCTCAGGCTCCTCCCTGTTAGGGAGCAAACGTCCCTGGTGACAGTCATTAGCACCTTCACTGTGAATCAATGCCACAGACCACTTCCCTCTCTGCTGGGTAAGATCAGGGCCCAGGTCAAAGGGAAGTGTGAAGAAATGCGGGCTTGTTAGGAGGGGAGAAGCCTGAATTGGGATTCCTCCCAGACATTGATGTGAGGGGTGGAGTGGGGGCATTATTAGGGAAGAAGATGAGCCATTGGCCCCTTCAACCCACTCAGATGTTCATGCAAGAAACCTGGGCATTTATTTATTCATTCATTCATCCAATCAAATGAAACAAGCATTAATTGAGCACCCGCTGTAGGCAGGGCCCATCTCTAGACACTGGGAGTGAAGTGGTGGACAGAGGCCTCCTTTGATTCCTCCCTCTTCTTCAACTCCCCACAAGTGATCTGTCCTCAGCGCTGTCCACGCTCTCTCTCAGGTCAGCCCCTTTGCTCCATCCCATCACTGACATCACCTCACTTTAGACCACCTTCGTCTCTTACCTGGACTCTTGCAATAGTCTCCTGCCTAGTTTGTCTATGTCTAGTTTCTCCCTTTGATCCAACTCCACCTTAGCGCCACCAGACCGTGTGTGGGTTTTGTTTTGGTCTTTGTTTTCTTTTTTAAATGTTTAAAAATTATGAAATAAAGCATACACATAGAAAAGTGCATGAAACACAAAGGTATGGTATAATGAATAATGATAAAGTCAGCACCTGTGTAACCACTACTAAAGCAAAATATAGAACTGATGCCAGAAGTCCTCCATGTGCTCTTTCTGGCTGAGACCCTTGTTCCTTTCTCTAGGAGGCAGCCACTGTCTGGGCCTTTGTGCAAATCTCTTCATTGTTTTTCCCTTATCTTTTTATTGCCTACATATGAATCCTTAAACAACATTGTTTTAAGTTTGCTTATTCATATGTAAATGCGATACAACTGTCTGTATTCTTTCGTGCCTGGCTTTTTTGCCTCCACATCATGTTTATATTACTTATCCATGTCTTGATGTTCCCTTCTTGTTAGCAATGATACAGCCACCCTAGCTACAATTCACCTGGAGGGGGGATTTTTTTTTCTTTGTTATTTTTGTGTGTGTGCGTGTGAAAATATACACAACAAAACATACACGAATTAAACAATTTCTACATGTGCAATTCAGTGACATTGGTTAGATTCTTCAAGTTGTATCACCTTTCTCGATATCCGTTTCAAAATTATTTCACCATCATTAACTGTTTCCAAATTATTTCTCATCTAACATTTCAAGTTGCTGTTGTCAATTTGATCACATATAGATAATTCTTTAAAAGAGCTCCGTACTCAAGGCAAACATTCTTTACTAATTAAGCTGAACTATTGTTTAAAGATGATTTCTGGGGATAGTTTCAGATCAAGATTTAAATATTTCCTTAGGGCAATAATTTTGAGGGGTCATATAGCCTCAATGGCTCCAGAAAGTCTGGATTCCATGAGCATTATAAATTTTATTCCACATTTTCCCATTTTTGATCAGGATTCTTGGATAGAATCTTTGATCAAAACATTTAGTTATGGTAGCCAAGCACCCTCCAGTCCTTCTGGTCTAATGGCAAAGGAGGCAGTTGTTTGTGGAGGCAGTTAGACATGCATTCCAGTTCCTCTTCCGATTCCTGATCCTCCTTGTTCCTCTGATGCTTCAGGTGAATAGAGACCAACTGTTGTACCTTGGAGAGCCACTCACAAGCTTTTAAGACTCCCCCACCCCCACCCCCGCCCCAGGCACTACACAGGCCCTGGTAGCACAGTGGTTAAGAGCTATGGTTGCGAACCAAAATGTTGGCAGTTTGAATCCACCAGCCACTCCTTGGAAACGCTATGGGGCAGTCCTACTCTGTCTCATAAGGTCACTGTGAGTCTGAATTGACTCGACAGCAATGGATTTCATTTTTTTTTTTTTTCCCGACACTACACGATGAACCAGGAAGTAAGATAGAAGCACTAAAATCAATACTAGGCCAATTGACTGCAATGTCCCACAAAACCATGATCCTAAACCTCTCAACCAAGAAAAAAAATCCCGTGAAGTGTTCTGTTGTACATAAGCAGTATCATCAGCTGCTCTTTGTTGTTGTTGTAAAAAATACTTAACACATTTGCCAATTCAACCTTCTCAGGTGTATAGCTTAATCACGTTGTGCAACCATACCCTTACTCAGTGCCAGATCTCCTGTCACAGTAAACAGAAATTCACTATTTTCCAAACACTAGCTCTTCCTCTCCCTCTCCGTTCCACCTCTGACAACCACTAATAAACTTTGGTCTCTATACATTTGACTATTCTTGTCATTTCATATAAGTGAGATCATACTATATTTATCCTTTTTGTGATTGACTTATTTCACTCAGCATAATGTCTTTGAGGTTCATCCTTGTTGTAGCAGATATTAGGACTTCATTTCTCTTTTTGTCTGAGTAGTATTCTATTGTATGTATGTACCACATTTTCTTTATCCATTCATCCTTTGATGGGCATTTATGTTGTTTTCACTTTTTCTCTATTACGAATAGTGCTGTGATGAACATTGGTGTACGTATATACGTTCGTGTGGCTGCTTTTAAGTCCTTTGGGTATATACGTAGGAGTGGAATTGCTGAGTCACACAATAGTTCTATTTTTAATTTTTTGAGAAATTGCTACCCTATGTTTGACACGGCAGTATCATTTTGCATTCCCACCAGCAATGGATAAGATTCCAATTTCCCCACATCTTCACCAACATTTGTTGTTTTCCATATTTTTTAAATCTTAGCCATCCTAGTGGGAGTTAGGTAGTATCTCATTATGGTTTTGATTTGCATATTCTTAATGGCTAAAGACGTTGAGGATCTTTTCAAGTGTTTGTTGGCCATTTGAATATCCTCCTTGATGAAATGTTTACCTAAGCCCTTTGCCCATTTTTTGATTGGGTTACTTGTCTTTTCGTTGTTACGTTGTAGAGGTTTTATATATATTTTGGATATAAGACTATTATCGGATATATGTTTCCTAAAGATATTCTCCCAATTGGTAGGTTTCTTTTTGCAGATAGTCCTGTGACTTATGAACAAAAGTACAGACAATGCCTGACCCATGACGATTCGAGTTACGATGAACCACACTTACAACCATCTTTTTTTTTGTACATCTTATCGTTATTAATATGCACTACATACAATGTTTCAGGACATACTTTGCTGATGTTATCATTCCAAGGTGTTCACACACAAATGTTCAATTTTATAATTTACTGTTCAAAACACTGCCATATAGATTTAGTTTTCTAAACTAAATCAGGAGCTTCCATTGCTTGAAAACATGGACCCAAACATTGATTGCTTTGCTAATGTTGATACACAGATTCAGGAAGCAGTGAGATGTTACTGCAATATATATGAAGAAAAAAAGAAAAGGCCTATACAGACAGCTGTCACTAATTTTCTGACTAGAAACATCATCCCTACTACAAGGGATAATCCAGATGATCCAGAACCTTCCACAAGTGGAGTTATCATCATAACTGACAAAATGCCAATGTCATGCAACTCTTCATCATCACAGTAAATTTTGATTTGTGTATTTTTTATGTATGTATATATGTATTAAAATATATCTGTAAGTTTATATGTAATGTTTCCTACTCCCAAAGACAAATAAAGATCGAATTTATAAAGATACTGATAATAAAAGGCAATAATAATGAAAACTAAAAAAAAAAAAAAAAATGAGGTATTTGACTTACATCAGCATTGACTTACAACGGAGTGGTTTGAATAGAACCCTGATGTAAGTCGGGGACTACCTATATTTAATTTTCACAAGGTCCCATTGATTTATTTTGTCTTTTGTTGTTCATGCTTTGTTATTATGTCAAATAATAAATTGTTACAGGATAGGCTCTGATGGCCATACCTCTATATTTTCGTCTAAGAATTTGATGGTTTTAGTTTTCACATTTAGGTTCTTAATCTATTTTGAACTGGCTTTTGTGTATGGATCCTGATTCATTCTTCTGCATGTGGAAATCCAATTTTCCCAGTACCATTTACTGAAGAGACTCTTCCTTCCCCATTGCATGGTCTTAGCACCCTTGTCAGAAATCTCTTGACCATAGATATATGGATTTATTTCCAGGTTCTCAATTCTATTCCATTGGTCTATGTGTCTATTACACCAGTACCACACAGTTTTGATTACTGTAGCTGTACAGTATGTTTTGAAATCAGGAAGTGTGAGTCTTCCTACTTTGTTCTTTTTCTTCAGAATTGCTTTAACTCTTCAGGGCCTCTTACCATTCCATGTAAAGTTGAGAATTGGTTTTTCCATTTCCATAAAGAAGGCTGTTGCAATTTTGATCAGGGTTGTGTTGAATCTATAAATTTCTTTGGGTAGTATTGACATCTTAACAATATTAAGTCTTCCAATACATGAACACAGAATGTCTTTCCATTTATTTAGGTTTTCTTTAATCTCTTTTAGCAGTGTTTTATAATATTCATTGTATAAGTCTTTCACATCCCTGGTTAAATTTATTCCTAGTTATTTTATACCATTAGATGTTGTTGTAAATGGAGTTGTTTTCTTAATTTCCTTCTCAGACTTCTTACTGCTGGTGTGCAGAAACCCAACTGATTTTTGTGTGTTGACCTTGTATCTTTCAACTTTGCTAAATTCCTCTATCAGCTCTAGAAGCTTTCTTGTGGATTCTTTTGGATTTTCTATATATAGGATCATGTCATCTGTGAATAGAGATAATTTTTCCTCTTCTTTTCCAATATACATAACTCTTATTTCTTTTTCTTGCCTTATTGATCTGGCTAAGACTTCCAATACAATATCGAATAGGAGTGGTGAGAGCAAGCATTCTTGTCTTGTTCCCGATTTCAAGGGAGAAAACTCTCAATCTTTCTCCATTGAATATAATGTTGGCTGTTGGTTGGTGCAGATTTTCTTATTTGGTGTGAGATAGTTGTCCAAGTTTATTGAAAAGTCTATCCTTTCCCACCGCTCTGTGAATAGGTGTCTTTCATTAGTTGTAGAACCAGCCATTATTTCTTCAAATTATTGCCTATACTTTTCTCCTTTACTTTAGGACTCCAATGAAATGTATGCTGTATCTTCTCACTATATCTTCTAGGTCTCCTACCCTCTCTTTTATACGTTCCATCTTTTTGTTTCTCATGCTGTATTCACATAGTTTCTTCTAACTTTCCTTCAGTTCACACATTCTTTCTTCATATGTATAAAATCGTCTGTTAAATCTATCTATTGAGTTCTTGCATTGGTTATTTTATTTTTAATTTTAGAATTTGTATGTGGTTTCTTCTTAAATCTGTAATGTCATTTTTTATAGCTTCTAGTTTCCTGCCTAAATTTTCAAGCTTGGATTTTTTTTTTAACATAGCAAGCATTGATTTTTTTTATAGCCTGTGTCCAATAATTCCAATATCTAAAATCTTTATGGATCTATGTCTACTATCTATTATTTCTGCTGATTCTTGCTCATGGTATCTTCATTCATTGTTTCTATTTACTTGTGGCTGCATGCTGGATATTGTACTTGAAAAAATATTGGAAGGAGTAATTTGTAATCTAGATGGATGGTATTTTCTTCCAGAGAGGGTTGTCAATAACTTCTGTTAGATGCTTGGGGGTACTAACAGGTCAGGACACCTTAATCCCTAGACCATCCTGATGGTACAAACTGGTTTGCAAGTCCATGAATGAGTTTGTTTAGTCTAGTTCACTCTTACCTGGAGCAAGTAGCCCTTTGAGGTCCCAGCTTAAAGCGTGGTGGGGGGCAGGAGGTGACTGATCAAGGTCTCCACCTTTGGGAGGCTCTAAGATTTGATATTCCCCCCTAATCCCATGATTCCTCCAAAATCATAACTGAATTTTACAGATGTATTTTTCCAAATGAGTAAATGACTTCAGCGAAGAGTGGCTTTGAGTGCTGGGCTTCCATATCTGAATTCTTGTCTTGAGATTTTGGCCTGGTAATTTTAAACTATCATTAACCTTCTTATCTTTTTAAGATTATCTAATACTTTGTTTAGAGGAGGGCTGACCTTAATTACCTGCTCTGCTATTTCCACAAGTGCAAGTCTGAGAGTGATCTATCTAAGAGGCTGACTATGCCATGTCTTGCTTGACCCTTTACTGGTCCTGCCCTATGTGAGGGACTCCCAAACTTGGATTTCATGAGCCAGTAGAATGTCAAAAGAAATTCTGGGGATCAACATAAGCTAATCAATTTTTATGTTATCAAGAAAGATAATTGAAAAAAAAATCCCTACCATTTATTATTGTTAAATAAGTTAATTTAATAAATTATTAAATAGAGTAAATAAAATAAAAAATTTTCTAATACTAAAATTATATAAGTCATATTTTCAAAAAATTGAATCAATTAAGCTCTATGAAAAATCTATGGATTGCCCTGATTTTTCCCAATTCTTTGTGATCCAGTGAAAATTTTTCTTGACCATAGTGGTCCATGATCTGGCATTTGGAAATTATTGGTCCTCAGGATGAAAGTCAGACTTCTTGGCATTGAATATAAGACCTTCCAGATCTGTCCCTGTCTACTTCTCAAGCCTCATTGTTTGACAGTCTCCTCGACGTCTTATACTCCAGCCACATGAAACATATTGGATTTCCCAAAATGCTGTTCCTTTTCGCCTCTGGGGTTTTGTACATGCAGTTCCCTGTGCTTGGAGAATCCTGCCCTCTCCCAGGCCCCCCAATCCCTTTCACCTGCTATCTTCTACTTATCTTAGTTCTCATGTCATTGATACACTCCCAAATCCAGGTGGACACCCCTGCCAGGCATCTCCCTGTTAACTGTACTCGACACGTTCTATATGGCTGCCCTTTTACTTATGTCTCCTCCTACAGACTCTGAACCCCATTCATCTCTCAATTCCTGGCACCTAGCACAGGGCTAGGCATGTGGTAGGAGGTTAATGAGTCTTTGCTAAGAAAGCATCAGGTTAAAGAAGAGGTCTGAGATGACCTCAGGGATTACGAATATGTGATATAGGAGTGGTCTTCTCCCTCTGCACCCACTCAGACATTCCTAATTGTTTCCTCTGAGTTGGGCTCATCTCAGAATCAGTTTCATCTTTCATGCAGCCACATTAATGTATCTGACATCCTAATCTGCATACCATACCCATAACCAACTACAGATTCCACAGAAACATCAGAGCTCACCATTCCCATGGCCTGGCACTCCCTGCCGACCCACCTGTGAGTGCTTTTCACCCTTTTTCATGGTTTTCACCATGCCCATCTTGCTGCTGAGAGTACCCTACTTCCTCCCCCTCCTGAGTCTCCTCTTCCTTCAGCTGTCCCCTGCCTCTGGGTGTAGGCAGATGATAGAGATGGACAGGTACAGGCAAAGCCAAACCCACCGAAAGGCCCTGCACCTGGGCTCTCAGGCTAGGGATCAAAACCAGTTGCTATCAAGTAAATTCCTACTCATGGCAAGCCTGTGTGTCTCAGAGTAGAACTGTGTTCCACAGGGTTTTCAGTGGCTGTTTTTCTGGAAGTAGATCACCAGGTCTTTCTTCCGAGGCTCCTCTGGCTAGACTCAAACCTCCAACCCTTGGGTTAGCAGCTGAGTGCATTAACTGCACCACCCGGGGACTCCTCAAGCTGGGGACACAGGCTCCAAATCACTGGATCTTTCTCTTTGTAGTAAGACCTTGGGCACCCTCTCCACCAGGGTCTCAATTTCCTCGTCTGCACAGGGCAGATTGGATTACACAACCTCTGTGAGCCCTTCCAGTGTGAACCCCCAGAGACTTCCTTCTCCTTCTGCCCCAGCCCCCCGCTCTCCCTCCCCAGGGGTTAGGTCTGGGTGGAAGCAGCGTTACCCATAAACTCCACATTCCCCAGGTGGAGGATGGCTGCCAGGAGTTTGCTGATGTCCCAGTTCTCAGAGTCAGAGAACATGAGGATCTTCATGGCCGAGCGGATGTGGGCGTAGTCCTTGGCGTCATCGAGACCCTCACAGGAGCTGCAGTTCCCCTGCAGGATGGGGCACAGCAGTTTATTGGGGGCCTCCACATGGCCTCATGGGGCAGACTCCAATGTCCTCCCCAAGGCCAGCAACCCCTCTCACCTACTATCTCATCTTAGTTCTTGTGCCAAGAGCTGAGGTGGTACCACAGCAGACTTTCCTGCCCACATGCCCCTCCTTCATCCAGGGTCAGTGAGACACAGCTGCCTCAGGGACTTAGCCTAAGACCCCGATAAGTCACCCTTCATAGACTCTGAGTGACCCTGAGGGGGGCATGCTAAGGCTCAAGCTCAGAAAATTTGTAAAAGTACTTCTAGAGACGGCGTCATGATGCCTCAGACCAGCCTGCTGCGTTATGCCGCCAGTGTTGTAACCCTGGTAACAGCAGCTTTTCTGAGCTTCAGTTTCTCCATACAAAAACTGGACAGCAGCATAGCTTCCATGCACAGAGGCTATGAAGATTAGAGACGGCCTCAGGAAAGAGCCCCAAGTGTGACACAAAGCAGGCACACATAATATTCACTCCTGATTCACTCTCGTCCCTCAGGTTTGGCCAGATCCACCACAGGAGAGGTCCAGCCCACCCAGAAGTGGGGATGGCCTCCTGGAGGAGGGAACTGAGGTGGGGGACAGGCAGTCTAGGCTGAGGACGGTGTAAGCAAGGCCACTGAGGGGGAGGGTCCTGGGCTGACAGGGGCAGGCTGTAGGGAGGCTGTGGTCAGAGTTGGGGCAGGAGAGCTTGGAGGGTCAGATCAAGCAGGGACCTGGAAACCATGCTAAGGAGCTTGGACTTGTACCCTCCAAGCAAGGGGGGAGGTCACTAAAGAATTTTAATCAGAGATGTGACAAGTCAGACTGGCATTTTAGGAAGATCACGTTGGCTGCAGATAGATGAGAGGGTCGGGAAACTACTGCAATGGTCTAGGCAAGAGATGATGAAGCCTTTGAGGGGGTGAACACAAAGGGCAGGGATTGTATAGGAAAGAGGTGAACTCATCCGTTTATTCCTCAACAAGGCTGAATAGGGTGGCTATTTGTGTTACATTGTCCCAGGCAATGGGGAGCAGCCAGGAACAAGAACAACACCCCTGCTTTCAGGGGGTTCTGCTTTTAGGGGCATCTGTGGGGATGGGAGATCAGATGTGAAATTAAGGAGAGATGAGCAGTGCAGATGACTCCCTATGACCCACTGGGGTGACCTGAAGTCTTTGGCCTAGGAGGACCAAAGGAAGATTAGGTTTGTGGGGAAAGACAGTGGGTTCAGTTTGGGGCACGGAGGCAAAATTCAGCAGCAGGAAATGAGGAGCACACTGATGAGTGTAAATTTCTGTAAGCTGATACCAAAGAGGGGTGGAATGGGAACTCAGGGGCCCGGCCGGAGTCTGGGCTCTTTTGCAGTGGTCAGCCCAGGATTTGAGCAGACACTGGCCTTGCCTCCTAAGCCTGGCCCTTTTTCTCCATTTTCCACTGGGAGGATTGGTGGGAGGGGAGTGCGGGCAGGGCAGGCCTCACCATGGTCAGGTAGTGGTACTCGGAGGGCATCCCCAGGCACAGCAGCTTCTTCTCCTCAGCACTCATCCCCATGAGCATGCTGTAGAAGATGTGGTAGTTCCGTTCCTCCGGGGCCTGGAAGGAGGCAGTCCAGAGAGATGGTTGTAAGCAATTCTTCGAGGCTATGGAGCTTGGCTCTGTCTCCCAGACCCCTGGCCTCAGAACAAGATCTCCCCAGTTGTGCCTTGGCTCTGGCATGGACCCAGGGAGGGCCTGGCCGCTGTCCTCATCCTGGGGTTCGAAGGCTGGCTCATCCCAACAGCTCAGAGCCAAAGGCCACCTTCCGCTTCAGACTCATCCTGTGCCACACGTGCACTTGAAGGCCCTGCACCCAGGTCACACATGATCGCAGGGTTCAGACCACGGTTCTCTGATTCAGAATCCCATGCTCTTTACAGTCGGCCATAGTTACCTAAGTTTTCTGCGTTTTTTTAAAAACCGTTTACAAATTCATTCCCATTGTAAAACTTCAAACATTCCTAAAGGATATAGTATGAAAAGGTGTGACTTTCCCTTCACCCTGCCTTTCCTTTCCTCAAATTCCCCTCCTCCCCTTCCCCAGAACCACTTGTTGGGTCTGTATTTCTTTCCAGATGCTTTAATGCATTTACTTATATCTATAAGTAGTTTTCTTCTTTTTTATCTAAAAGGAATAATCCTGAACATATAGTTCTACAGCTTCCTTTTTTTCCATCTAAATACATGTCTTGGTGATCTCTCCACATTAGCACACACAGATCTTCTCATCCTCTTTAGCCTTGCCCAGCACTCTATAGTATGCTGTTGTTCCTGTTAGCTGCCATTGAGTTAACCCCTAACTCACGGCGATCAGATCACTGTGATGCATAAAGTTTTCAATGGCTAATTTTTTAGAAGTAGGTTGCCGAGCCTTTCTTCCTAGTCTGTTTTAGTCTGGAAGCTCCACTGAAATCTGTTCAACACCATAGCAACACGCAAACCTCTACTGACGGACGGGTGGTAGCTGTGTATGAGGTGCATTGACTGGGAACCAAACCCAGGTCTCTCACATGGAAGGCAAGAATTCTACCACTGAACACCAGCGTCCCTTATATTCTGCAGTATAGAAGTGCCATAATTGTTTAGTCTCTCTCTTATCATGGACAGGGCTTGCTTCTAACCTGTTTATAAATTTCCTGTCTACTTCGGGGGTTCTTGGGTGGTGCAAGTGGTTTGTGATCACTGCTGACCTAACGGTTGGTGGTTCAAACCCACCCAACAACACTCTGGAAGAAAGGCCTGGGGATCTGCTTCCATAAATATTACAGCCAAGAAAACCCTATGAAACTCAGTTCTACTCTAACACATGGGGTCACCATGAGTCACAATTGACTCAATGGCAATGGATTTGAGTTTTTTTCCTTTGGGTAACCAATCCTATGAATTCACCAGCTACTGTGTGAAGAACTGCAAGCTTCTGGAAAGGGCAGACTTCAGAGTCAGAGAGACTCCACCACTTACTATCTCTGTGACCATGGACAAGCTACTTAACATATCTGGATGCAGTTTATTCATCTATAAAATGGGGGTAATAATATCTACTTCTCATGGTTATGAAGATCAAATGAGATAATACAGGGAAAATGCTTGGCACCAGGCAGGGGTCACTAAATGTGAGCTTGCCTCTCCAGATTTCCATAGTGCCAAGGTGTCTGCCCATCCTCACACACAGCCCCAACCCCTCTGCTGGTGTCTTCCTCATTCTGGACCTTCCTGTGTGCATGTACGTGGATATACATACATGTGTGTTAGAGGTTATGCCACCATGCTACCATAAAGGGCACCCTCCCCTGACAAGGCTGTGTTCACTCTGATGTTGTGGGTGCCACACCTTGGGATCCTTGACATTCAGGACTGGCTACATAATTTTTGGGGCCAGTGCAAAATTAAAATGCAGGTCCCTTGTTCCAAATTATTAAGAATTTCAATACAGCAACAGAAGAGCATCGAACTAAGTGAGTGCAGGACCCTGTATGACAGCACAGGTTGCACGCCCATGAAGCTGGCCCTACTCCCTTGCAGCTTTTTCCGGCCACATGGTCTTCTGGACATTATAATTCAGTACCCATTCCACACAGTGACTAAATGGGATTTATACCAGGAATGCAAGGTTGGTTTAACATCCAAAAATTAATTAATGTAATAGATCATAATAACAGAATAAAAGTTCACCCTACTACGGCCCAAACACACCCCAGGACACTCCCCTCCCTCAACTGGGGACTGGCTCAGCCTTAGATACAACTTTAGTAGAGGTGAGGAATAGTAGGCATCAAAGAATAAACAAACAAAAAATATATATGAATAAAAACTTCAAAATGGAGAAAATCCTAGAATTTGTTTTCCTGGCATACTGAGGAAAGATCATCATTATCCAATTCTGGGGGTCCTTGGCCCATATTGGAGGCCTGGTGGCGTAATTATTTACAGCTGCTAACCAAAAGGTTGGCAGTTCGAATCCACCAGCTGCTCCATTGGAAACCCTATTGGGAAGTTCTACTCTGTCCTACAGGGTCGCTATGAGCTGGAATCGACTCGGCAGCAACGGGCTTAGTTTTGGTTTGGTTGACCCATATCAGGGTAAGGCTGGAGTTCTGTGGGAGCATTGGGAGGCCCCTAGGGAGAAGATATGGTGTGGGGAGAGAGATAGGAGGCGCCCTCCCAAGCTTCCCACAATTGTGCTCCCTGTCCAGAGGCAGGAGAAGTTTCCCTGGACAGTGTAGCTTCAGAGCAAGAGCAGTGGTCTGGCCCAGGTGGAGCCCCTTCCCACAGGCAGGGACCTCACCTGCCGGCAGACCCGGGACTTCTCCAGGAGATATTGCTCGATCTGAGCACCCTCGATCACCCCGGTGTTGTTGAAGTAGATGTCGATGTACTTCCCGAAGCGGCTCGAGTTGTCATTGTGGACTGTCTTGGCATTTCCAAAAGCTAGTGGAGAGTGGACAATGCCCATGATTAGCACAGAGGAGAAAATTTCTTTTGGTGGGGACATCTGGAAAGACTTCTCAAACAGGTGACAGCTGAGCTCAGAATTTAAGGATGAGTAGGGTTTCAGGAGACAACTATTGCAACTAAGGGCATGTTATGGGAAGGCAAAGTGTAGGTAAATGTTTGGAGGTCAGAAAGTATGGGATATACTTGTAGATTTAAAAATATAGCTGAAGCATAGGATACAGGAGGAAAGCAGTGGAAGACAGACATAATTAGACCATATGTTAGGCCATTTTTTAATGTCAAAGAATAGAAATAATACAAATATGTTCTCTGATCACAACTGAATGAAATTAAAAATCAGTAACAGGAAAACACTTGGGAAACTCACTGTCATGGTTTGAATTATGTCCCCCCAAAAATGTGTGTATCAATTTGGCTAGGTCATGATTCCCGGTACTGTGTGATTTTCCTGTATGTTGTAAACCTGCCTCTATGATGTTAATGAGGGAGGATGGGTGGCAGTTGTGTTAGTAAGGCAGGACCCGATCTACAAGACAGGACTGTGTCCTGAGGCAGTCTCTTGAGATACAAAAGACAGAAGTGAGCAGTGAGACAGGGGGACCTCATACCATCAAGAAAGCAGTGCCGGGAGCAGAGCGTGTTCTTTGGACTGGGGTCCCTGTGCCGAGAAGCTCCTAGACTGGGGGAACACTGATGAGAAGGCCAAGAGAGAGAAAGCCTTCCTCTGGAGCTGACACACTGAATGTGGACTTTTAGCCTACTTTACTGTAAGGAGATAAATTTCTCTTTGTTAAAGCCATCCACTTGTGGTATTTCTGTTACAGCAGCACTAGATGACTAAGACACTCACAAATACATGGAAATTAAACAACACACTCCTAGATAACCTTCTTTGAGTCAAAGAAGAAATCAAAATAAAAATCAGAAAATACTTTAAGATGAATGAAAATGAAGACACAATATACTAAAACTTATGGGATTTAGCTAGAACAGTGATTAGAGGGAAATGTATAGCTATAAATACCTATACTGAGAAAAAAGATCAAAAATCAATACCATATTTTTATGAAAATAACGTGTATCTTCTACATTTGTTTGCCAACCGCACCCTTCCCCTGCCCAAGGTATTTTTGTAAAAGCACTATGCTAATTGTTCTACAGCAACATGTAAAAAAAATTGGCATAGCAGCGCTTATGAACATACCTTGTGCGGGAAGTGCGCGGTTGGTAAACAAATGTAGGGTATACATTATTTTCATAAAAAATATGGTAACCTACCTTTCAGCCTTAAGAAACTGGAAAAATAAGAGCACTCTAAACTTAAAGCAAGCAAAAGGAAATAGTAAAGATCAGAGCAGAAATTAGTAAAATTGAAGCACCCAGCCACCCCTCCTCTTTCGGGACCTGGGGAATCCTGAGGAATTGCTGAAGTTTTCCGTCCTACTCTGTGCCACATCTCATCCCCCTTCTGCATGGGTACCTCCTGGAGGGAAGCTCCTGGGGCAGCATTTTGAGGGTGCTCTTACCTTCCAGAATAGGGTTGGCCTCAAGGATCTGCTGCTCAATCCAGGAGTGCTGGCCACTGATAGTGGCCAGGAACTGCAGGATGAGCTTGGTGGTCTCTGTCTTCCCAGCCCCAGACTCACCGCTGCAAAGATGGATGTGAATCAACAGAAAGACATTCTCCAGTACCACTCGGCACCCCCCAAAACACACCATAGGACCACCACTCAGCACCCTCCAAAACACACCACAGGACCACCACTCGGCACCCCCCAAAACACACCACAGGACCACCACTTGGCACCCCCAAAACACACCACAGGACCACCACTCAGCACCCGCCAAAACAGGACCACCACTCAGCACCTCCCAAAACACACCATAGGACCACACTGGCCCATCTGAACCAGGAAGCCCTCTCCCTGTATGGAATCTACTGCATGTTCCCCAGAGGTCCCTGGGGGCTCCGACTGTCTACTCTGAGTTCATTATTGGTGTGCTGCCTTTTCTTCCCTGCCAGGCTCCAGCTCCTCATAGGCACAGCCCATGCCACAGCTGCCAGCACAGGGCCAACACAGTGCTCAGTAAGTACAGACTGGACAGGGCCACACAACAACTGTGACTGATCTCCACAAGCAGCTGTGTCCACATGAGCCTAGGGGAACTGCAACAGTCCCTCTGGGAACCAAAGTGGCATAGGTGTGACACCTTAAGAATTATTCCTGCCTTTTAGCCTAAGGAAATAATCCTAGATTCTGAAAAAGCTTTCTTACAAAGATTTCTGCTCCTTAAAGCATTGTTTATAGTTATAATTATGGAAAGCTGCGAGTAACCTCAGAGGGGGAAATAAATCATAGTACGCGTAGTCAGAGACCATCAGGCAGCCGTTGAAGCCATGTCTGCACAGAGACTAGCCACTGTGAAGTGAACAAGCTGGTAGAACTCAGTATCACCGTAACCAACAGGTGGCAGGAAGCCTTTTCTTAGAAAAATATCCAACAATTTTTTTCTGAAACTCTCTAAAATGTTGATAATAAACATGTATTAATTCCATAATGGTAAGAAATGAAAACTAGTTGTTTTTTTAACTGCTTAGGCAGTTTAATTAAGTTAAAAAATACACTGTGTCTGGCATACAGTGTACGCTCAGGTTGACAGTAATATTACTATTATTAAGGCCTAAAACATTACTTTTTTATACATTTTTTTTTATTATGGAAAGGTTCAATCATTACAATGTGGGCTCAGAAGTGTGGCCCACAGACCAGCAGCATCGCTGGGTTAGAAAGGAGTCTCAGGCCCCACACAGATCTGCGGTATCAGAATCTGTTCTTTGGCAAGGCCCCAGGCTATTCCCGCGCCCGTCAACGTTTGAGTCATGAACGCCCACCTTCCAGTTGCCCAGTGGCAACTCCTGGCCAGATTAGGGAGCTGGCAGAGGCTGGGCCCCCGCAGCAGTCTGTGGGGGAGAGTCAGGACCTGGACAGGAGGGGACGCATCCCTTCGGGGCCTAGTCACCTACAGCCGTTACTGCCCGCCCTCGCCTGAGGCCTCCCTGGGACTTTTTGGGAGTGAGACCTCACCTGCATCCCCAAGTACCTATGCTGGGCGCCATTTCTAAAGGCGCTCCCTCACCCCCACCACCTGTATCCTTCTTTTCTTGTCTCAGGGAACACTTACTGAAAACTGGAGGGGCCCAGGCCCTGGTGGTGCAACAAAACACCAGGTACAGAAAGAAGGAATTCTGGGGTGGGGTGCTTTTAGGGCGAGGGCAGCAGGGCCCAGAGCCAAGTCCAGGCAGGCTTGTGCGCATCTCCCAGGATGTTTGCATTGAATAAAACCAGTTAAAACCAGTTGCTGTGTAGTCGGCTCCAATTCATGATGTATGACAGGGTAGAACTGTGCTCCATGGGGTTTTCGATGGCTGATTTTAGGAAATAAATCCCCAAGACTTTCCTCTGAAATGCCTCTGGGTGGACTCGAACCTCCAGACTTTTAGTTAGCAGCTGAGTGCATTAACTGCACTACCCAGGGGCCCCGAGCCCTAAACAACACCCGTGTTGCAGGGCATGCTGGCAGTGAGAGGCTTAGGGCAAGGGGAAGTTTTGTGAACCTTTGTGAGATGCCTGGAGGCGGTGCCTGGGTGCATCTGTCCCCTCACCTGATGATGCAGCACTGGTCCCTCTTGTTCCTCCTCATGTTGAAGTAGCAGCCGTTGGCGATGGCGAAGACGTGGGGTGGCAGCTCCCCCACGTGGTGATTGTAATACAGCTGTACCTGCTCCTGGGTGTAGATGGGCAGCACCTGGAATGGGTTCACAGCCACCAGGATGGAGCCCGTGTATGTCTGCAGAGGGAGCAAGTGTCAGCGTCCTGCCCTGGGCAGGCCTTCAGACAACCTCCTTTGACCACTAGGGCCACAGACTCTGATGGAGAGGTGGGGTCTGAATCTGAGCTGGGTGCCACCTCTGTGTACACTGGGACCTTGGGGAAGTCACTCAGCTGCTCAGACTCTTCCTTGGGGAGGCTGGGGTGTCACCTGGCAGGGGAGCTGCCAGCGGGCACGTTTACAGGAGGGCTGACAGAGACCATCGCTGTCAAACCTTTAACACTGTGTCCGGTACTTAGACATCCAGAATGACCAGTCCCCGGCTGCTGCCCGCACCGCTCCATGATGGCAGGCTACAAGTGGTTGGCTTTGTTGGAACAAGCCCCTCTGGGGCCCCCATGCCGTCTCAGCCTGCTGCTCTGGAGCCCTCTGGGTCCGTCTGCCCTTCTAGGGGTGGGGCGGAGACAGACACCTCAGCCAGTTTCATGATTACCTGCGTTTTGGTTTTTTCATTTTAAGAATGGAGAGGATAATCCCCCTGGTTTCAAAAGGACCAGATGAAGAGAATGCATCATTTGCACTTTGGAAAGTACAAGGTGCAATCAGTTCATCGTATTGCTGCTATCAGTCTCAGGAGCTCAGGCCCACATTCAGCCAGAGCCAGCTCACTGTTCTGGGCCCTGCTCCTACAGGCTCCCCCTTGTCCCCACCCACCTTCTCCTCTGTCCAGGGCCCCAGTCACTCCCCAAATCTCTGAACAGCCCAGGACAGCCAGGCAGAGCCGAGGAGCTCTGGAGATTCGCTAGCCTACCTCATCTTCCACACAAGGCCCCGTAGCACACACACTCAGCACTTAGCTGCAGCACTGCCAAGAGCCACAGCCCTGAGGACTGCTGGGGCTGTGTTCCCTCCACTGCCTGAGCACACTGGGGAGAGCTGGCGTCAGCTTTGAGACACCACTGCTCCTGGGGAAACCTGCATTGTGACAGGGCTGGGAAACTCAGGGTGAGGAAACTGCCCATTCATGGCTGGGCTTTGAGAGAAAGACCCCAGTCTCCCCACATGTCCTCATCCCTGGGTGTCCCTGGGTGACCATGCCAGCTGAAGGTTCTGGTCCTCACAGGACTCATTTCGTAGGAGGGCAGGGGTCTCCTATCTGGTGACCCTGCCTTTACAACATGCCCAGGAAGGGGGCAGGTGGAAGACTGTTCCCACCCCCCTGGCCTCTGGGATCTGCTCAGACCTTCCCACTCAGTGGAATGGAAGGGGCCAGCATTAATTGAGCACCCACTGCATGCAGGCACTGTGCTGCCCGCTGCACAGCGGCAGTGTCTCCCCACTCTCCTCAGCTGGGAGCAGAGATAGACACAGTGGGGGATGGGCGGCCTGGCTGAACCAGGTGTATCTGGCTCCAAACCCTGGCTGGAGCACGTGCTTCCCCAGCCAGGAGGTCACATGTGTGGACCCAGCCCCCTTCAGGAGGGGCTCCCGTAGGCACGGGGAGGTGGAGGGCAGGAGCCAAGCCTCCGGGGCCTGCTTTGCTGGCAGTGGCCAGAGGCCTGGTGCTCCCAGTAGGAGCGGGAGGGGCATGGAGCAGTGCTCTGGACTCACGTAGATCTTGTGCTGCTGGTAGCGAATGAGCAGGTTGTGCACCACGCCCGCCTCGTTCAAGTCCCCCAGGCGGATCATGTCGTCCACACCGAGGACCGAGTTGGGGTGCATGGGTCTGAGATTGCCAAGGTCCTCTGCATGGATCCAGTGTTCCTGGAACAAAGGGTGCCAGGGCACAGACTCGGAAAGGTGGCCTCCTTGGGGCCAACCTACCACACCCTCTGACCCAAGTTCTCAACAGCAAGATGACCTACAGTGTCACAGGTCAGTTGGGACTGGTGGCCAGCCTCTGACTGGACAGTCTGTGGTTAAAGTCAAGGGAAATCTGTGGCTGGATCAGGCCTTCTATGGCTGGGGTCAGCGAGTGTCTAGGGCCGGGGGCCAGTGGGCGGCTGGGGCTAGGGGTGGACTTCAGGCCCATGTCAGAGGACCTTGTGGCTTAGATTAGGCTGTGATGGGATCAGGGGTTAGTTTGAAGCTGGAGACTTGCAGGCTGTCGGAATCAGAGTGTGCGAGTAAAAAGCACTTTAAGACTGGACAGCATCATACAAAGAGATAGTATTATTAATTTTTCAAACAACTGGCTTCCATACTACGGCGTGCACAGACCATAGTCCAGAATCTTCTCTTTGGAGGTCAAGTGTCCATGTGCCGCCCTCTGCAGTGCCCAGCCTGGCAAAGGGGGCTGCTGAGGAGGAGTCAAACCACTAGTCAGGGCTGACCAGCGAGACCCCAGCCTGCATGCCCGTCCCCACCTCACCTGCTGACCCTGACCCACTCTCAGGTACAAGAGCCTTCAAGGATGAGCTGGACCCCAGGCACCTCCCCCTGCCCCCAGGTTCCGAACTCTCACCTGTGCTGCTTTGCTCGGCATGAGAGGCTCAGGCCCCTTCTTCCGCACACTCCTCCTCATGCACCCTCCCCTCCTGCCTTTCTGGTCCCCCAGCTCGCCCCCCCTTTACTTAGCACACCAGCCTCTGCCCTCACTTCTCTGTACCACGGCCCTTTTCCATTTCCCTCCTCCTTGTCCCTCCCTCCCATTGTACTACTTTCTGTGACTACCAGCTTGCCCCTAGCCTCTTCATGTAGAAACAAGTCCCCAGCCAGACATGAAGGATTCACCATGGCAGGAATCCCTGGGGTGAGTCTGTCCTGCCGTGAAGGTCTGCATGGGGTTTTGGAAACCCTGGTGTTGAGAGCAGCGTAAAGAAGGGGACATGGCATTGGGTGGAGGGGGGTAGGTGGGGGACTGAGAGGGCAGAGCCTTGTGGGAGAGCCCATTGTTACTGACCTTCCCTTCATCATCCTCCACCAAGACCTTGCCTGGCTCTGTTTTCTTGATGATGCCCCCAGTGGCCACAGTGGTCTTGTTGGCAGAGGGAGGGTCCAGCCACACATGGTCCCCCTGGAGAACAGAGAGAAGACAGTGGTCTGATGCCTGGCCCCACTTTCACTTCCTGCTCCAAACTTCCCTCCTCCTGTGGGCTGCCCCCCACCCCCACCCCCAGAGCATCCAGGGTGGCTGGTGCTGTCTTGCTCTCTCACTCCTGGTCTCCATGAGCATGAGTCACCTCCACTGCTCACCGGGCAGTTAGCAAATACCGCCCTGTACAGTTCTGTCTCCATGTCTCTACCTCGTCTCAGGGAGTAGGCTGACCCAGGGGCTCTGTATGACACCTCCTAGGACTTCCTATAGCACCTCTCAAAAACAAAAAACTCAGCTGGCATTTATTAAGGCAGCAGAGCAGAGTGGACTAGAGAGCAGACTGCTCCTCCGGGTTCAGTGTGCACATGAATCACCTGGGGATCTTGTTAAAATGCAGGTTCTGCAATTCCACTCCTGGGTGTGTACCCCAAACATTGAAAATAGAAGTTCAAATAAAAATCCGTAAATGAATGTTCACAGCAGCACTATTCACCACAGCCGGAATGTGGGAACAACACAGATGACCATCAAAGGATGAATGGATAAACAATGTGACATCGCCACGCAATTACTCAGCCATACAGAGAAATGAACTTCTGACGCATGCTACAACATGGACGACCCTTGCAGACATTATGCTAAGTGAAAGAAGCCAGTCCATAAAAGACCACATGTTCTATGATTCCATTCAATGAAATATCCAGAAGAGGCAAATCCATAGAGACAGACAGCAGATTAGTGGTTGCCAGGGCTGAGGAGAGGGGGGAAATGCGGAGTGACTGCTTTACAAAACTCGTTGCCTTCAAGTTGATTCCAACTCATGAAGATCCCAGGTGTTACAAAGCAGAACTACCCCATAGGGTTTTCTTGGCTGTAATCTTAAGGGAAAAAGATTGCTGGGCCCTTCTTCCACAGCACCACTCAGTGCGTTCAAACTGCCAACATTTAGGTTAGTAGTCAAGCGCAAATCATCTGCACCACCGTAAATCTGTACCACTGTAACTGCTGCTTTATAGATGAGGGATTTCCTTTTGGGGTGATGACAATGTACCACCTCTACATAGTGATAGTAGCACAACTTTATGAATATACTAAATGCTACTGAATCGTACACTTTCGAATGGTGAATTTTATGTTATGTGTATTTAACCACGATTTTTAAAAATGCAGATGCTTATTCAGCAGGTCTGAGGCAAGGCCTGAGATTTTGCATTTCTAACAAACTCCCAGGTGATGCTGATGTTGCAGGTCCAAGAATCACACTGTGATTTGCAAGGGTTCAGAACACAAATGATACGGGGTGCCCATAAAGCCTGGAACACAGATGATATCATTCTATGTGTTCACAGACTGAAGGTGACCTTGACGATGTGATATATATTCACCTGTGCTTCCAGACTGTATAGATACTCAGATGGCCTGGGTTCCAATCCTACCTTTTCCCCTTACGGGCTCCTAGGCCCTGGGCAGGCCGCTTAACTTCTCTAAGGGTCAGTTTCTTCACCTGTAATATGGGTCTATTATCAGCACCTACCACATAAAGGTTAAAGGAAATGATCCAAGCAAACTTTTAGCAGAGGGTCTGCTACATAGTAATTGCTTATTATTAACTTAATTAATACTTACCACAACCCTGTGAGGTGGGCCTTAATATAAACTTCATTTTGTAGATGGTGGAATTCTTCACAGAAGTTATGTGACTTGCCCAGGGTCACCCAGCTAGTAAGAGCTAGGAGATAAACCCAGGTCTGACCTACTGCAAAAGTGTTCTCCTAATCACTATACCATACTTTCTTTCAAGGGTTCACTACAGTTAAGTGTTCTTTGTTTTTATTCGTTCTTTTCATAAACCACCTAATCTCACTAATGATTTAAAGTTGCCTTCGGTAAAGTACACTGGAAGATTTCCAGTCTGAAGGTGGCAGCAGGAGGTTAGCTTTTCTCCTGCATCCTTAAAAACCACTCACAAGGAAGTAGGAGAAAGAAAAACAGAAACCAAAACAAAAACAGCACCTTCAGTGAAACTGGGAGGTGGCTGAGCCCCGAACCATGAAGCAGGCAGAAGAGTGCCCAATGAGTCAGGAGGATGCTGAAAAGATGGCCCCAGATACAGATTTCAGAAAGATCAGGCAGTGTTCACTTCTCCCAGGTGGAGCACACTCTGGCATGCAAAAGCAGCATCCCTTTCTGCAACAGCAGGAAAGGGGGCACTGGGTGGCAGTGTACACTTGCCTGGCTTGGTTTGGGCCTAAGGAACAGACAAGCCACATTTGCAGGAAACAGTCTCTGTGAGGTGGAAAAAGACAGGCTTTGTCTGGAATAGCCTCATACTAGCCAATTGGCCAGGGAGAAGAAAAACTAACAACTCATACATTAGGTTTGTGCTAGCTTACAACATGGCGCTGACCCCACATGAACCTCCTGCTGCCCCAGGAAAGCTCATCCTCCTCAAAGTGGAGTAAGCCAAAAGAAACCAGCACAGGTCTACTTACCAAAACTCAAAAACCAAACCTGTTGTCGAGTGGATTCCAACTCCTAGTGAACCTGTAGGTCTACATACAGAGAGATACTAAAATCCAAAAGAAAGAAAGGAAATAGTGAATAGCACCAGAGAAAAACTACCACAGAGCAGTGGAAAGCTGGCCAAATGCTTTGCCATGATTCACAAACACTTAGTGAAGTGCAGATCAGAGGTAAAGAGCTCAAGTGTTGGATGGCGAGACAATGGAAGAGACATGAGTTGGCAGCACTCAACAAGGAGAAGGAGGAAAGAAACACAGTCTGGAAATGAAAACACAATTGGAAACAACACCAAGAGAACAAACACTACTGAAAACGTGGTAAGGATCATGGAAAACAGGAAGGAGAAAAGTGAGCAAAATGACTGGAAATTGAAAAATTGGAAGGATTAGGGAGAAAATGATAGACATGGAAGATGGGCAAAATACAAATAATTGGAGTGCCCAAAGAAGAAAAAAAGGAAAGGAGCAACTATTTAAAGACAGAAGTTAAGGCAACTTCCCAGAAATTAAAGGAGCCCTGAATCTATAGATTGTAAACACAGTCTAGGACCAATAAATAGTGACAAAGAAAAATCAAGTCCAGGACATATACTAATAAAGTTTACTGGACTTTAAAATGAAAAAATTATTTTGGGGGAATATGTAGACAAAGGAGCCCTGGTGGCGCACTGGTTAAGAGCTCAGCTGCTAGCCCAAAGGTTGGTAGTTCAAATCCACCAGCCGCTCCTTGGAAACCCTATGGGGCAGTTCCACTCTGTCCTATACAGTCACTATGAGTCGGAATTGACTTGACAGCAACGGGTATACAGGTATGTAGACAAAAAAATTAGTTCACTAATAAAAGGAAAATTCAGACTGGCTCAAGAGTTTTCCAGGACAAATTCAAAACTGTATGAGAGCTGAGGAATGCCTACAAAGATCTCAAGGAAAGAGTAGCCTGATAATTTTTTCCTTAGTCAGAGTGTCATTCAAGCATAAAGGCAACAAACATTTTTAAAGGATGCAATATTGTTGTTGGCTGCTGTCGAGTTGGCCCCTGACTCACAACAACCCCATGTGTTACAGAGTAGAACTTCTTTATAGGCTTTCTTGGGTGTAATCTTTTTTTTTTTTTTTAATTGTACTTCAGGTAAAGGCTTACAGAACAAATAGTTTCTCATGAAACAGTAGTACACATATTGTTTTATGACATTGGTTAACAACCCCACAACATGTCAACCCT